CCCGGCGCTGTCACCCGCCAGGCACACGCGCTCGCCCGTCCAGCCTGGGGGGACACAAAAAACAGCGAGGAAAGGGTTAAAAATGGGGAAAAATTGGGGAAAAAAATGGGGGAGAAAGGGTTAAAAATGGGGGAAAATTGGGGAAAAAGTGGGGAAAAAATGGGGAAAAATGGGGAAGAAAGGGTTAAAAAATGGGGGAAAAATAGGGGAGAAATGGAGAAGAAAGGGTTAAAAATTGGGGGGAAAATGGGGGAAAAATGGAGAAGAAAGGGTTAAAAATGGGGGGAAAAATGGGCAAAAAATTGGGAAAAAATGGAAGAAAAATGGGGAAAAAAATGGGAAAAGTGGGGAAAAAATTGGGGAAAAAATGGGGACAAATGGGGAAGAAAGCGTTAAAAATTGGGAAAAAATGGGCAAAAAATTGGGGAAAAAATGGGGAAAAAATTGGGAAAAAATGGGCAAAAAATTGGGAAAAAATTGGGAAAAATTGGGGGGAAATGGGTAAAAAGTTGTGTAAAATTTGGGTGTGAAATGGTGAGAATTGGGGGTCCTTGGGGGGAGCTCGGGGGTCTCTGGGGGCAGCAACGACACCCCCAGACACAGGTTCCCCCCGGCGCTGTCACCCGCCAGGCACACGCGCTCGCCCGTCCAGCCTGGGGGGAGAAAAACGGGGAGGAAAGGGTTAAAAATGGGGAAAAATTGGGGAAAAAATGGGGGAGAAAGGGTTAAAAATGGGGGAAAATTGGGGGGAAAATGGGGGAAAAATGGGGAAGAAGGGGTTAAAAATTGGGGAAAAATTGGGGGAAAAATGGGGAAAAATTGGGGAAAAATGGGGAAGAAAGGGTTAAAAATGGGGGAAAATTGGGGAAAAAATCAGCGAAAAATTGGAACAAAATTGGGAAAGAAAGGGTTAAAAATGGGGAAAAAATTGGGGAAAAAATGGGCAAAAAATGGGCAAAAAATTGGGGAAAAATGGGGAAGAAAGGGTTAAAAATGGGGGAAAATGGGGGAAAAAATGGGGGAAAAACCGGGGAAGAAAGGGTTAAAAATTGGGGAAACTTGGGGGAAAAATGGAGAAGAAAGGGTTAAAAATGGGGAAAAATTGGAGAAAAAATGGGGGAAAAACCGGGGAAGAAAGGGTTAAAAATGGGGGAAAATAGGGGGGAAAATGGGGAAGAAATGGGGAAAAAATGGAGAAGAAAGGGTTAAAAATTGGGGAAAAATTGGAGAAAAAATGGGGGAAAAACCAGGGAAGAAAGGGTTAAAAATTGGGAAAAATGGGGGAAAAACCGGGGAAGAAAGGGTTAAAAGTTGGGGAAAATTGGGGGGAAAATGGGGAGGAAGGGTTAAAAATTGGGGAAAAATTGGGGAAAAAATGGGGAAAAAAACAGGGAAGAAAGGGTTAAAAATTGGGGGAAAAATGGGGGAAAAATGGAGAAGAAAGGGTTAAAAATTGGGGAAAATTGGGGAAAAAATGGGGAAAAATGGGGAAAAAATGGAGAAGAAAGGGTTAAAAATTGGGGGAAAAATGGGCAAAAAATTGGGAAAAAATGGGCAAAAAATTGGGAAAAAATGGAAGAAAAATGGGGAAAAAATTGGGGAAAAAAATCCCCAAAAATTCCAAAAAAATCCTAAAAAAATCCTGAAAAAATCCAAAAAAAATCCACAAAAAATCTCAAAAATGCCCAAAAAATCCATAAAAAATCCCCGAAAAATCCTAAAAAATCTCAAAAAAATCCCCCAAAAAATGCCAAAAAAATCTCAAAAAAAATCTCAAAAAAATCTCAAAAAAATATGAAAAAATCCCAAAAAAATCTCAAAAAAATCCAAAAAAAAACCATAAAAAATAAAACAAAAATCCAAAAAAAATCCGAAAACATCCCAAAAAAACCTGAAAAAAATCCCAAAAAAATCCCAAAAAAATCCATAAAAAATCCATAAAAAATCCCCAAAAAAATACCAAAATAATCCCAAAAAATCCTCAAAAAATCCAAAAAAATCCATAAAAAAATCCCAAAAAAATCCCAAAAAAACCCCAAAAAATCCCAAAAAAATCTCAAAAAAATCCCCAAAAAATCTTAAAAAAATCTCAGAAAAATCCCAAAAAATCTCAAAAAAATCCCAAAAAAATCCCAAAAAAATCCCTAAAAAATCCCCAAAAAATCCCCAAAAAATCCCCAAAAAATCCCAAAAAAATCCATTAAAAATCCCAAAAAAATCCATAAAAAATCCCAAAAAATCTCAAAAAAATCTCAAAAAAATACGAAAAATTCGCAAAAAATCCCCAAAAAAATCCATAAAAAATCTCAAAAAAATCCCCAAAAAACCTGAAAAAAATCTCAAAAAAATCTCAAAAAAAATCCGAAAAAATCTCAAAAAAATCCCAAAAAAATCTCAAAAAAATCTCAAAAAAATCCTAAAAAAATCCCAAAAAAATCCCAAAAAAATCCCAAAAAAATCCCAAAAAAGTCCGAAAAAAATCCCAAAAAAATCTCAAAAAAATCCCAAAAAATCCCAAAAAAATCTCAAAAAAATCCCAGCAAAAATCTCAAAAAAATATGAAAAAATCCCCAAAAAATCCCAAAAAAATCCATAAAAAATCCAAAAAAAATTCCAAAAAAATCCTAAAAAATCCCCAAAAAAATCTCAAAAAAATCTCAGAAAATCCAAAAAAAATCTGAAAAAAATCTGAAAAAAATCTGAAAAAAATCTGAAAAAAATCCCCAAAAAACCTGAAAAAAAATCCCCAAAAAATCCCCAAAAAATCCCTAAAAAATCCCAAAAAAATGCCAAAAAATCCCCCAAAAATCCCGAATTTTTCCCGTTTCTCACCCAGCATTTTGCAGTTGCAGAGGGCCCAGCAGTAGGCGTAGAAGCACTCCTCCAGCGCGCGGGGGAAGGGCGCCTCGGGCGCCAGCGCGTAGTCCACGGAGAGCACGGGCGCGCCCAGCTCGCGGGCCCAGCGCCGCAGCTCCGGCTCGTGGCAGCGCGGGGGGTTTGGGGATCCCCCCAAAAAAATCCCAAAAAACCCCCCAAAAAAACAGCCCAAAGTGATGCTGGATGAGCCCAAAAAATATCCCAAAAATAGTGAAAATATCGTAAAAATTACTGAAAAAATCCAAAAAATATCCCAAAAAATCCCGAAAAAATCCCAAAAAAATCTCCAAAAAATTCCAAAAAAATCCCAAAAAAATCTGAAAAAATCCCCAAAAAATCCCCCAAAAATTCCAAAAAAATCCTAAAAAATCCCAAAAAAATCTCAAAAAAATCCCAAAAAATCCCAAAAAAATCTCAAAAAAATCCCAAAAAAATCTCAAAATTAATCCGAAAAAATCCCAAAAAAACCTGATAAAAATCCCAAAAAAATCCCAAAAAAATCTCAAAAAAATCTCAAAAAAATCCCAAAAAAATCCCAAAAAAATCCCAAAAAAATCCCAAAAAATCTCAAAAAAATCTCAAAAAAATACAAAAAATTCTCAAAAAATCCCCCAAAAAAATCCATAAAAAATCTCAAAAAAATCTCAAAAAATTCCAAAAAAATCCAGAAAAATCCCCAAAAAATCCATAAAAAATCTCCAAAAAATCCCAAAAAAATCTGAAAAAAATCTCAAAAAAATCCCAAAAAAATCCCCAAAAAAATCCCAAAAAAATCCCAAAAAATCCCCAAAATTCCCATTTTCCCCCCGTTTCTCACCCAGCATTTTGCAGTTGCAGAGGGCCCAGCAGTAGGCGTAGAAGCACTCCTCCAGCGCGCGGGGGAAGGGCGCCTCGGGCG